TCTGTATAAAGCTTCTTGTAGAGGGATTTTGGCTTTGCCCCCAAAGTATGAGATTGACTTGATGGATTAAGAACCACTATTATCTGGATCTTTTTGCTGACAAAGTCTTGTTCGAAAATACTGGTGGATTTTCTGGGAATGTATCTTCAGCTGGGTTTGCCCCCCAGTATTTTTCACTAGACGAGGCTGTTTTTTTCGTGAGTGCAATCTGGCTTGGGACTTGTCGAGATCCTTGTTTGGACTCTAAATGTTGAATGCTGTGGATTTTCAGCTTCTGGCTTTCTCTCGAAATGATGAGTACCTTGGATGATACGATTTTGGTTATAACGGCTTTCTTATCATTGAAGTTTTCTTACTTGAATGTCCTTATTGCTGTATCTTGAGGTTGATCGACCAAAATCTTGGCTTGGTACAGATAGTTGGTACTTCAAATGCTAAACCGGGGGCATCAGATTGTAAGTCCCACGACATTTTGTTTGTTTTTCTTTTGTCTTTTCTTTTTTGCTTTTGTCTTTTCTTTTTGTTTTTTTTTTGTTTTTTTTTTTTGCTTTTCGCTTTTTGTTTTGTTTTGTTTTTGTGGGGGACTTACTTGACTTTGTCATGCAAGGGACCAGATTACCCTCCCAAGGAATGCTGCTCGGCGTTAAAAAAAAAATGTGAACAACGATTGTGCGACGTGCAGCCATGTTCAGCTACATCAACATCTAAGGTAGATACCCGTCGTGGATTTTCGCCAGCTAATGCAGAGAAGGTGATCGAGGCCTCTCTTGCCCTCCATTAGGCCTGTCCATTTGGTTTTAGTTTTTTGGTTTTAACCAAAACCAAACCAATTAGACAGTTAATGGTTTCAGTTTTTCGAATTTAAAGCAATAAGCAACTTCATGGTTTTGGTTTGGTTAAAACCGAAAAACCAATAGAAACCATTAAGAAACCAATAAGAATAAAATTATTTGTCAACTTTTTTTTCTTCTTTTGACACGCCTGCCAACCAATAATTTGTAATGGCCATTTACCATTATTATGACGTTTATTCAATAAAAAGGCGGGGAACGGGAATAAATATGAGTGTATGAGTACATGTTGGTTTTTTGGTTATCCAAACCAAAACCATTAAAGCCCTTATTGGTTTTTGGCAACCGAAAACCAATAAGAGCTTTAATGGTTTTGGTTTTGGTTTTTTGGGATTTGGTTTTTGGTTTTTCATCTTAAAATATATTAAAGAGGTTTGAGATTTAACCCCTCTCCACGTCAGCTTTGAAGTGATTACCGTGATTTTCGGAGTAATCTATTTATTTTGTTTGTTCTTAACATTTTAATGGGCTTTATCGGCGACAGTTACCTTTTTTTCCCAATGCAGTTACACTTTTCCCGGTAAAATCTCCACCCTTATTTTTTTTCACATGTGTTTTGTATTTTTTGAGTTTCTAAGTTTATTTAATGTCATTTTTCTTATTCCGAAGTTGGAATATATTTGTTTACTAAAATTGATTTCCCCCACAATTTAGAATGAGAAAAACTTCACAGGTTTACCATAAAAAAAAATGAGAACTATAATTTTCCATGAGGGATTAGGCAGATACAAAGAAAAAAAAATTCATAAACATAATGTTATAAGTTTGATAATAATTTCGAATTTTGATTACTCCACTAAACTATATATTTAATTTTTAAGTGTTATTATGTTTATATGCACCGGGAATTCATAGTGACGCTAAATAAGATAATTAATTTAACTATCTTAATTTACTCAAGTCATCAAAGAATTATTACTTATCATAAATTATATAAGTCTATGAGCGAATAGGCAATGTTGAATACTCCTTGACTATGATTTGAGTATTTTGATTTAAACGATATATTGGTTTTGTTATACACAAAATATAATTCACTAAGTAGTAAGTACTGAATGGTTGTGAAGTTGATTCATAGATTGAGTTTACATAAACCTCCTGTAGTAAATACTGAATGGTTCTGAAAGATGTCTAATATAAAATAATTTAATTATAATACAAGAAAAATACAAATAATCAGATGAAACTTACCCGGCCAATGGCCGGAATGAAAGCTAGTTCTTAATGGTTTGGTTAACCAAACCAAATTGACAGCCCTACCCTCCACTGCCTCCTTCGCCGTCGCCTGGTTTGGCCTCTGGTGGTTCACCTGATGGAGCAGAGAATGTGAGCGGAAGCTTTGGTTTGGGGAGTTCTATGTGCGATGGTCTCAGCTGGGTTCTTGGCTATGGTTTTTTTGAATGTGGTCGTTTGAGATTGTTGGTATTAATCCATTAATTCCATGCATCGACAAAGGAAAAGTTCATTCCACTTTAGTTACTAACACAATTGGCAAAATAAGTCCATGTGCCATGCAAGGACGAAATGCCTTAAGGAGATGATTGTAATTGAGGGTTGATAACTTTATTGTAATGGTTGAACTACTCCATGGATAGTTACTTCATATATTCACAAGTAAGTAGAAATTACTTACTATGAATTCATTTTAAAGAAGTTCAATTTCTATATCTAATATGTAAAGGTAAATCGACATCTCGAAACTTAAAAGTCTTGGAATCTAAATGGCTAATAGGCAAAATCTTAGGAACCTCCTTGGCACTTACAATAAAAAAACTGAATCGCTATTCGTCGCCCTAAAATTTACATTTTATCGCCCTAAAACGTATTAAATTGACATTTTTACCCCTCATTATCTTTCATATCCTCCCCACTTATTCGTCTCTCCCTAATCCATCTGGCGTCCACCCTCCATCATCGCCGACCCACTCCAACCACCAGTCCACCACCGCCGACATTGAACGTTCTTCAATCCACAACCGAAAAATTGTTTCAATCGACTTTCTTTTTTGAAATGTTTACATTTACTCATCCTCATCTCTCGCCTCGTCCAAATGCACAACAGATCATCCATTAGCTAGGGAATTTTATTCAATTATATTATTAAGGCCTAATACCAGAAAAGGGCCCGTAGTTTAGAGTTTGGGTCATTTGCACCCCTAGGTTTATACCGCGTCACTTATGTCCCCAAGTATATAGTCCGCATGCTAATTATGTCCTCACTCGTTTCGTTGACTGTTAGACTTGACGGTCAACCTAACGGCGGTCAACCCTTATTTGACTTTTATACCACATGTCAGCCACATCATACACACGTGGCATTTATATATTTATAAAAAATTATTATCTCAATTAAATCAGAAATATTTTTTCAAACATTAAAAAATCATTCCACTTATGCACCAAAATAAAATCCTTTGCTCAATCGGGGTATGTTTTCTCCTCCACCTACTCGACTCCTTAATCTCCTTCCGATCACCCTGCCGACAGAAGTCACCGTCTCCACCACTACTCCTACTGCCAATCTCCCTCCCACCACCGCCAACACCTATCTCCTTTCTCGCATCTCTCCTCTCCAGAGATAGCATCAAAGAAGAACCCCCTACCCCCACAAAGGCGGCCGCTCTCTGGCCACAAAACTAAATCTGATCTGCGAGCTCGAAGGCTCCCCTGGCGGCACCAAATCCCTGATCGAATTCAACAAGCCCTAGATCTGATCCGCCATATCGACGACTCAACAAATCGCCAACCTGATATGAAAATAAATGGCGGTTTCATCCACCAGATACATCACGAATTCCCGCCGAATGCAGGAGCTATTGGGGATTTGGCTCGGAAGCTCTGCTGGTGACCGGATTCATACTTGCCACCATCTTCTGGCATCTTGACAACTCGCCGAAAGGGATCTAAGAGCGGCTCGGATTCTTCGCCTTCGCAATGTCGGTGACGCACGACTCAGGGAAAGGAAATTCAAATCGGCGAGAATTTTGGGACGGGTGGTGGTGGTGGGTTTCAAAATCTATTGGATTCCTTACCCTCGGCATCAGCTCCGACGTTGATGAGGCTGTCGTCAAAGCTCTCTTCCAGCAGAGATGGCGGTGAGCGTGCCCAGCGATGGCGCTATTTGGGGAAGGAGGAGACAGTGACGATGGTTAGATTAGGGTAGAGATCGGGTTAGGTTAGGATTTCATTTTTATTTTGTTAACTTTTTATTAAAAATATACAATTTAATTTTGTAGTATTAATTTTTTATTTATTTTATATTAAGTGGTGTGCAAAAAAATATCACATAATATGCCACATCATCGGTCAAAACTTTGACTGTTGACAACTAACGGTCAAAGTTAACGGAAAGAAAAAATAAGGACATAAGTGACGCGGTATAAACCTAGGGGTACAAATGACTCAAACCCTAAACTACGGGCCCTTTTCTGGTATTAGGCCTATTATTAATTTATTTATACGTTTGCCCTCCCCTGTTTTTTGTGAACGAAAACAGAGAGATGGCTTCCGAGTTCCGACAGGTGAATAATAACGGCAGGAATTTCAACTTCCACAAAGCACTTTCTAGGAGTAGAAGCATTAATCGTCGTTGCCCTCTGTATCTGTGTCGATCAGACACAGATTACACCGGCCGGATAGCCCCAAAACACCACCCTGGAGTATATGGGGAATAAGAGAACTCTACCTTCGCTGCGTGCTCTTCTTCACAAGAGGAGAAATCTCTGCTATCTTGACTTTGAGGAAGCGAAAGCCGCAAAATTGAAGCTAAGGAAATGGAACGAATCAAGGAATGATCGATTGACATTCTTCGGGGGCCGTCTATGTGGGGAATAGGAAGGCGAACAACAAAGAGAGAGAGAGAGATGAAAGGATGGCAGGATGCCGCCTTCGTACGTCCAACAGCAAAGAGAGAGATTGGGTAAGGCGTAATTTTGATTTTTGAAAATAGGACGATAATTATAAAAAAGGGCATTAAAGTAAATTTATTATAATTTAGGTCGACGAATAAGGATTTTTAGGGCGACGAATAGCAATCCCAAAAAAAACAGCAAATAAAGAAGACTGCAGCGGATATTAATATTAATATATATATATATATATATATGCAAATCAGCAAATGCAAGGTAGGAATAAAATAATAATGGAGGAGGAAATGAGTTTGCGCGTATTTGCTGGAATCTGCTGCTCCGCCACTTTCCTCCCACGTCCTCAGACACCTGTGTTGTTATCCACCTCTTTGCTCTTTTCTGAAAGTTGTTTCATTTCTTCCTTCAATTCGTCAAATTTATCCACTAGCAGGCAGCAGCTGCTTCCTTTCCTTGCCGGCTGTTCCCCGGCTTTTTGGTAGCTTCTCCCAGTAGTACATCTCCAATTCCAATGCGTTGATCTTCTCGCTGAGATTTGCTAGCTCTGGAACTCCATTTCTGATCCAGAAGCTAAAAACCACAAGTAAACACAAAGAAATAGAAACAAAGGAAGATCAAAGGGGAGATCTTTCGTCCATTCAAAGATGATGGGGTGGAATATGCGTTCTTGGTCTTGTTGCATCTTCTTCGCTTGCCTTTTTAGCTTGATGGGTTTCTTTGTTACTTCTTCCTCTGCTTCCACTTTCCTTTCAGGTAACTTTTGTTATGAAAAAAAGGAATTGCTTTTGCTCACACTCTTCACTCTAAGTTTTGATTGAATGAGTAATTTTCTTTTCATTCATCTGTTGGCTATTTTTTTGGTCCAGATTCTGTCTTTGAATCGCGTTCTGCTGCTGGAAGGAATCTACTCCAAGCTAGAAAAGGTGTGTAGTTTATTTTCCTATCAGTTGGATTGGTACTAACCCAGCTTGCTTGCGATCATTTGACTTGGTGAATTAGTTGCCTGGTTTTGAAAGTTTGCTTTGAAGTTCTTCTAGCGTGCTTGTTAAGCTTGAATGGGGTTAATTGCAGGAGGTTGCAATTGTTGTGCCCCAGAATTAAATGTTAAAATCTGGTATCAGTTATAATGACACTTGAAAGCTCCAACCTTCATATAATTCATAGGTGGATGAACTAAGCTTCATTCCTGAATTGTAACTTGTATCCACGGTGATAGGATAATTGAAATGTAGCTTCTGAAATGTGATTCTCCTTCTGTTTAAAAAATTGTGCTTGAGACTAACTTTTCTTGGTCAGACAAAATGATGGATCTATGGAGTGAATATGGGTTGCATACAAGCATCTAATTTAAGCTTTCCTTCTTTAAGTTGAAGCATCTAATTCAGTCCCTTGATATATATTCTCACATTCATGTTCCTAAATTCTATTTTTAAAACTTCTAATGCAGTTGGTTGGACATATTCACACATTATTTAATTTTGAGATATAATGAGAATGCAACTCTTTCTGGTTTTCCTTTGGAATATCTTACCAAGTTTTCCTTTTCATTTACTCTCACTTTTGATTGGTCCGACTTCAGATGAACTGGGGTTTGAATTCGTTCAAGTGATTATGGAATGAAGCATATGCAATGCACACAATATAAACTAACAAACACTTTCCATCTTTGAATTTTATCTGCAGCATGCCCTGTGAACTTTGAGTTCATGAACTACACTGTTATCACGAGCCAATGCAAAGGACCGAGCTACCCTCCCAAGGAATGTTGCTCGGCATTCAAGGACTTCGCCTGCCCTTACAACGATGTGTTGAATGATGTGACCAACGACTGTGCATCGACCATGTTCAGCTACATCAACCTCTACGGCAAGTATCCCCCTGGTCTTTTCGCCAGCGAGTGCAGGGAAGGTAAAGAAGGCCTCTCTTGCCCTGCACTTTCACCTTCACAATCCGCCAATGACAGTGGAAGTCATGATTTACGCGGCGACCGATCAACACTGCTGATACTCTCAACTGGGTTGCTAGTCATTTTGCTTCTGTTACTTTGATGGTTTGAGCTGATCATCTTGTCCTCAATCTTTCCTCTCTCTCGGCTTAGACTGGTTTTCATGAAGCGTAATGTGAAAGAAAGGTTGAAAAATTCTCTTCTGAATAGGGTTCTGTTCACATTCATGAGTCCTTGTGACTGAATGTTTTTATTCAATTTATTTGTATATGTATGATGATGTATTTAAAACTAATGTAACACTTAAGGTTCTTGAAAATTTGTTTTCTTTTTTCGCATCTTTTGAGCTGACTGCTAACTTAACTGAAACAAACATGAGAAACCAATGAGTTCAAGGACAACTAAGTCTGAACTAAGTAAAAACTGACCTCACTTTCCCAACACAATGCTCAAACTTGTACTTATATTCTCAAGCGGTCCCTAATAGCAGTTTCTTCCTTCCCTACCAAAGACAAAAAAGATCTCTGCAACTGATAAATTTCCTCTGTCTGGCTGTAAATGCTTCACCACTTCACAACCCATCAATCTAAAAGGGAAACCCTCTCATAAAAGTTCCCCACTTTAGACTAAAACCAGCTAATGGCTATTCCTTCAGTCCCTTCAGCCTCACTACATCATCCTCCAGACCTTCTCTTGCTCCAATTATGCAACAACATCCATGAAGTGAGACAGGTGCATGCCAAGTTCCTTGTTTCTGTTGGCAGACAAGTGCACTGCTGGGTGATCAAGGCTGGAGGGGAACTTGGCAGTTATGTTCATAGCTCACTCACTCATTTGTATGCTACTTTGGGTCTCATGGACGATGCAGAGCACGTTTGCGGTGAGGTTTTGGAGGAGAATGTGGATGCTGTCAACGCGACTATATCAGGGTATTGTAGGTGTGGACGAGTGGATGAGGCTAGAACTAAGTTCGAGGGGATGACAGACAGGAACGTCGCGTCCTGGAGTGCTATGATCACAATTCACAGGGTACACTCGGAACGAGATGAATTTAGAGGCATTATCTCTTTTCTAGGATATGTCTATGAGTGGTCCGGGACTTAACCCGAATGAGTAGATGGTGATTAGCTTACTAACAGCCTATGGACGTCTAGGAGCTTTACCTCAGGGGAGATAGATGCACACCTACATCGAAAGGGTGCATGGTGGATCTGTTGGGTCGAGCAGAGAGGCCAGCAGAGGCACATGAGCTCATTGCATCAATGCCCAAGGAGGCGAATTCAGTGATTTGGGGAGCATTTCTCAGCAGTTGCAGGGTGCACAACGATGTAAAAAGAGGAGCTGGGCCTTTCAACGGCTTATGGAGGTCGAGCCAATGCCAGGGGATAGGTGGAAACTAGGAGAGTTGATGTCTGGGAATGCAGGAAGGGAAATGTTAGCAATTAAGATTAGGAAGTTGAAGCATGGCACTGAAATGGAGACAATATTAGGGTGCAGCTTCATTGAAGTGGGTGGTGTTGTCCACGAATTTGTAGTGGGGGGCATTATGTATAATAAAGCTGAAGCGATTTATAGAATGTGCAGAAGCATTAATAGAACTATGAAAAATCATTCATGAACATGACAAGTTAAGATTACAACATAGATAAGAATATTACTGAGGTGCAAATTCAGGATTCGGAGAACAGTTCTATAGCTTACTCAACCAACAATCATCTAGCCACTCAACGAGATCTGTGATGGAAGAAAATGGAGCATGTTTGTGGTTTTACTCTTTCTCACTAACATCAAAGTACAAGACAAGTAGCAGGATTGGATTCATTCAACATGAATATGTTTCAAAGTTCCTACAAAATCACACTTCATAATTAATAGTCATCGCCTCTTGATATCACCTCTTTGCAGGTTGGGCGAAGCAAGATTGTATGCTCAAACTGGGACACATAGCTGCCCTTAACATCGCAAAGAGGAGGATACGGCTGCCATAAAACCACAAATCGTTAACTTCCACAACTTCAACTGTTCAGACATTACCAACTTCAACAGTTCAGATCACAGTTCTTTGTGGCTATCTAGAACTAACGGAAAGGTCCAAAACCAATAGTATGGTCTGTTTTTAGAGAAACTCATGTCATTATGTAAAAAGTAAACTTCAATTTCTGCACCAGAAGATATTAGATACCATTGACGAAAAGGTGAAGCAAAATATCTGATTAAGAATGATAAAAAAAATTAACTGATCATGGCTATTGTAGAGACTTCTTCGCATGCTAAAAAAGTACCTGAACAATGCCAGAATCACATAAATTCTTCAGAGCCATCAAGTACTTGGTTTCTCCAAGGCGGTCCAAGTACCGCCTGCAGAAAGCTAGTGTTGAGAAGTTTTTATCTATTGTTGCTAGCAGCTGCTTTGCTCTTGCCATCCTCAATGGCACATGGCCAATATCAAAGTTTTTCATGTAATGACTGCACTCTAGATCTTCTCTGACATATCCTTTCCCTACACAATCGAAAAGTGTTTTTTATGTATTGACTGCACTCTAGACCTTATCAGTGACTAATGCTTCCAATACCAATGCAGAAGAGATGGCTAATACCTGTTGAGCCAAATGTTTCAATTGCGTAAAATTCACCCTCTTCCATTTTAGTCTGCTCCCCTCCTTTTACAATAGGAACAGACTTTCCAGCATGAATTTGATATCGCCCGATGCTGTGTCCATTCAAGTTTCTGATGCTTTTAACTGCAAATGACATTATAAATCAATGTAAAAATATATCACCACGTAATGGGTTTCTGAAATACACAGGAGTTTTGATAAACCACTTCAGAGCTCCTAAACTTTTAACTAGGAAAAAATAAACAGGACGAGCATGCGTGGAACCGAATAGCTACATTTGGGGAGCATAGTAAAAGACAAAGCTTTGTGATTCAAGGGACACTCCCAACAATTTCGAAGTGTTACATCCTCACTAAAATAATTGAAATAACCATGATTTCATCTTGATGCTAACTTTAGGTACTATCCCATATCAGTTAGAAGTCAGCTGGATCGGCACCTTCCAAAACAAAAAAGGAAGCGAAGCAAGGAAAAAGTAAGTGGATATCTCTAACCACAAGTACAAACTGTAGAACAAAAACTATAAACATATGGCAATTAAGTTAGCAAAACAGGACAGGGCACAACAACAATGACTCCTAATACATCATACCTTGAAACACCTTTCCATTTATCTCAACCTCATAAGACTCCATGACCTCTTGGATTGCAGCACCAACATCACAAAGACGCACATCAATCCCAGCTTCCTGAACGAATCAGTGGAAAATTTAGTATGTTGCTTCCATTTCAATGATATTGTATCACTGACCGAGAGAAGACTCGTTTAAGAGAAGCCCATCACCTTAATACCCGTGTTTGTGGCCTCACGTGAAGCTTCAAGCAGTGGGTTAAACATGGGATTGAATGCCACTGTAAATGCACAGTCCACAATATTTCCTGATATTCAACCAACCACCACTTCAGATATACTTCCATCCAAACAGAGTGATGCTAATTCCAGAATCCCCTTAGAACAAGGAATGTAATGGGAAAAGCTTCCGAGCATGAAAACATCCAGCTCTAGAATCAATTCTTGAAGCCACCATGGCTTACCAAAAGGGAAGAGGAAAAATTCAAGAGATTTACCGCCAATATGGGTCCCAAAGTCCAACTTCATTACATCATCATACTGAAGGACTGTCTTGTCACCAGAGTTGGGAGTCCAATGAGCAGCAACCCTTTCGGTACATAGAAGAAAGAGAGTCAGCTTCCAATGAATATATGACCAAATTCAAAAAAAGGCAAAAGAATCATAACACAAGTACTCACCAGTTCAGAGAGCATCCCGTAGGAAAGGCAATTCCAGCTTGGAGACCATTTTCTGATATTAGTTTACGAACCGTGTTCTCCAATGTCTCACAGAGGTCAGTCATTAACATACCAGGCTTCAAAATGCTTCTGATGTGTTTGCGCACCTAGTGACAAGTAAAAAGAATTTAAACAGACATGAATGACAAAGAATGGGGTTGTTGCATATAGAAAACAAAGGAAAACCTGTCGGTGAACTTCTGCAGCTTGTCGAACTGAATTATATAAAGGCTTTTCAAGCCGCTCCAATTCTCTCTTCTCCTCGGACGTTGTACGCCATAAGTTACTGACATGTAACATTTGAGAGTTCAGAAGATGACAAGAAAGCATAGGCCCGATTGCTTCATGCAACATTTGAATAGCCATTTGCAGAGGCACATGAAAGAAAGAACAGACGAAACAATACTAGAGGCCATCTTATTTGCATTATCAAGGTCAAGAAGAAGCAGCATATACTCACTCATCTTTGTATTGTTGAATTTCACCCTCCGGAAATTCTCCAGATGGGAAGAGCTCAGCAACAGGAACAGAGGGTGGATCAGTCTGCTGAGCAGGTTCCTTCTTCTTCCTGTCAATAACAAAATGGAAATTATTGCCATTCATGGAGACATCCAAATGCACTGGAAGGCTAATGTAGTTCTACAATTTCCAATGTGATATACTATAAGCAAAGAGCATACTGCGCTGAAAGACTATACATATCACCAAGTTATTAAAGAATGAAATACTCACTTGCTTTTATTTTTCTTCTTTTTCTTTTTAACAGCATCTGAAAGAAAGATTTGCAGAATGAAAATGAGTTATAAAAAAATTAATTTAAGGGAACATCAGCATCCTACAAAGATAGAATTAATTCCCTAAATACACATTAAACTAAACCAAATTCCTAAACTACCACACTTATAAAAAAAAATTCCCAAAATACCTAAGTTTGGAGTGGTTCGAGTTTGAGGAACTCGAACTACTAACCGGTTCGAGTGTAGAAGACTCGATCTACACGTAAATCGATGATATAAGCCTCGAACCATGTGGGGCTGAAGTGGTTCGAGTTCAGTGAACTCGAACCACTACTTTGAAATTTCCAATCACCATAACTTTGTCCTCGGTTATCCGATCGTAGCAAACTTTTTTTTCATTTCGCATAATTTTTCGAGGACTACAACTTTTATAATAGAAATATTTTCAGAATATATGTGAAAATGTGAAAATTAAAGTTAAAGTTACTCGCAAAACCCCTTATATTAAAAACTATTCCTATTTTGAAAATTTATTCCTAGTAAATGTTGTAGTACTAAAAAAATTATGCAAAATAAAAAAAAACATTGCAACGTTTGGATTACGGAGCACAAAGTTATGATCCTCTAAAGTTTGGCAAAATCGAAAAATTGCTCGTTTAGGGGTAACAAATGACATTTTCTCGGGGCGAAGGCACGGGAAATTTTTTTATATATAGGAAATTTCTGCCAAAAGAGCAATATTTTTACAAAAAAGACATTTTTGGATGGCTATCTTAGAAAACGTCATTTGCTACCCATAAATTAAACGAGCAAATTTTCAAATTTGTCAAACTTTGGAGGATCATAACTTTGTGCTCCGCAATCCAAACGTCGCAAAGTTTTTTTTTATTTTGCATAATTTTTTGAGTACTACAACATTTACTAGGAATAAATTTTCAAAATAGGAATAGTTTTTAATATAAGGGGTTTTGCGAGTAACTTTAACTTTAATTTTCACATTTTCACATATATTCTGAAAATATTTCTATTATAAAAGTTGTAGTCCTCGAAAAGTTATGCGAAATGAAAAAAAAGTTTGCTACGATCGGATAACCGAGGACAAAGTTATGGTGATTGGAAATTTCAAAGTAGTGGTTCGAGTTCACTGAACTCGAACCACTTCAGCCCCACATGGTTCGAGGCTTATATCATCGATTTACGTGTAGATCGAGTCTTCTACACTCGAACCGGTTAGTAGTTCGAGTTCCTCAAACTCGAACCACTCCAAACTTAGGTATTTTGGGAATTTTTTTTATAAGTGTGGTAGTTTAGGAATTTGGTTTAGTTTAATGTGTATTTAGGAAATTAATCCTACAAAGATATGCCAAAGCATATGAATTTGGGAGTGGTATGCAAAGCAATGACATGAGTCAGTTTCAAGAAAGAGCCCAGATTGAGCAAACGTAATTAGAGCGGGAAACTCTAGAGCAAGCATCGAGATTGATGAAGAAAAGACATGCTCTGGATGAATAAAATAATAAGGGAGAATAACCTTTCTTCTCGTCCTCGTCCTTGTGTCCTGCAAATGACTCATCATCTCCATTGCTAACTGAAGGCTCTAAACTCCCATTCTCTTCCATAGAGAGTTCTTTAATCATCTCTTCACCCGCCATTCTTACTTGCCTATTGCACACAAAAAGGAAATTAGAAAACCGGGACGTGCTCCATCACCTCGTCAACAAGCAACAGAATTACGACTGGACATTCATGCCTAAAAACCTAGAAAATTTACGACTAATACTGGACTGAAAAGGGATGATCCATTTTGATATAAAAATTCAAGCTTCTTTCACCCGGAAACAAAGCTAGCAGCTTTTTCCCAAACGCAATCCCGGATTGATCTTAGGAACGCAAAGCACAAACCATTTCGCGGGAAACCCCGCGCGCCAAAGTCAAACAGAACCAATCAAATCCCCCACAGTTTCAGAAACAGAACCTGGCATGTTAATTCGACGGAGGCAGAATCTGCTTTACCTGCTATTCCTTCCTTCTCCTGATACTCTGTAATAAACTAGCAACTTTGCTCGGGAACTCTCAGACTCTGTACCCAAAAGCTCAGGCGGTCTTTCCGTTGCACCCTAGCTGATTGATGATGCTGCCAGACAGACGCCATTGAAATACTGGGGGGTCAATACACAGGCCCGGGAAAGCCTGAAACTTTCATGGGCTGCAGCTGGCCCATAAACTGGGCTTGGGAGCTGGTTGGCAAACGGGCATCGAGGACCCCAATCGTTTCGACTTTCAACTTCCTATCACGGATAAATTCATTGCCCAGCCAGCCCGCCACCGCCCGCCCGCCCGCCACCGACTTTTTCTTGCGTTCATTTTCCAATTTCAATGGTTTTATTTTTCCTGCCTGCTCCTATGGTTTTATTATTCTTATCCATTAACTAATAACTAATAATTTATATCCTTTGTGTCCCGTTTAGAGGTGGCAATTGGATCGGATTCGTGGATTCGTGGATTGGATTGGTGGATCCATGGATCAAATGGATTGGAACCAATGGATTGGTGGATTCATGGATTGGATCAAATGGATTGGTGGATTGATCCATGAATCCAAAAGACATCCAAGGCTTGGACCAAAATGTAAAATTTGAAAAGTTTTGGTACTAAAATGTCATAATGAAAAATTTTAGGTACCAAAATGTAATTTTCCAATTATATTTTTTGTATAAAAATATAAATTTTAGGTACCCAAATGTAAAATATAAAAAATATAGGCACCAAATCGTAATTTGCCATTTGGATCCATGGATTGATCCATGAATCCACCAATCCAATTGGATTTGGATCAAATGGATTGGATTTAAATGGATTGGATTAGGTGGATAATTTGGTGGATGGATTGGATTGGATTCATGGATTTGGATCCTAATTGCCACCTCTAGTCCCGTTGCTTTGTTGTGGCCACTGACCAGGTCACGTTCCTGACCCAACCAAAGCCAAGGACAAAGACCACATCGATGTGGGATCAAAATTGACTCTACTAATTTGTTTATTATCATTAAACATGTTTTCCTTTGATTTGAGGGTAACTTCCCACAATATTGTGTTTTTTTTTAATTTACCACCAATATGGTGGTTTTGAATTTATTGACACAAATATTGTATTTTTGTGAGGAAGTAGTGTGAGTTCGGCAGTTCGCATTAGACTGAATTGGATCCGCATTTTATGTATTTTGAGGTAAAAAGCGTGGCCCCGTGAGACTGGTGTGGTGCCGTTGTCCCCGTTTTAAACTGCGCTGACAGATTTCCTTACATTTTGACCAGTGGACCCGCGTGAGACTGGCTTAAATTTTGTGGCTTTTGCCTTATTTCGCTGACGGATTCCCCAAATGTTGACCAACGCTCCCGCATCAGTCTTATGCGGACTCGCCAACTTTATTTACCCCACTCCAGCATATATATATGGTGCCTTCTATGGTACCCCGGGTGAAATCCGGGGTACCGCATACCTTGAGTATGAAAACGCTATCTAGACCTCGAATTAGCAGGATTTTTGGGCATGATACTATACCCTAACCCTTAATGAGTGAACCCTAGGTCCTAATTATCTAAATCATAAACTATAAACCCTAAGATGGTGCATTGATTTTTTGCTTATATTTGGACGAATCATAACCGTCGATTATTGTTTCTAATTAAATTGATCTTCGCGTATAAGATTTAGAGAATTAAGACCTAGATGTTGATCTTTAAGGGTTAGAGTATAGTATCATGTCCGAAAGATTAGTCAATTCAAGTTCTGGATAGCGTTTTCTTACTCAAGGTATGCGGTACCCCGGATTTCACTCTGGGTACCGTAGAACTCCCCATATATATATATATATATATATATATATATATATATATATATATATATATATATATATATATATATCAGTCCTTTCCCCCTTCCTTTCAGTATCAGCACCATACCAAAAACTTATACGAAACTAAACGAGAGGGAGGAGCTATGCTTGTTGCTGCAAAGATGGCTAGGTAAGAGACACATTTATTTTTTTAATTGTATTATTAAAATGCTATTAAATTTTTCTTTAGTTAGTAATTAGTGAATTTACTTGTTATGTAGTGACTTTAGAAGATTTGAATTGGTCGTTCGACGGAAATTGGAGAAAGTAGAGGACAATTTGGGCGTCCATTTCGCTGGTGGTAGAAACTTTCAGTTGATAGTTCCATGCAGGGTGACATATCATCAATTTTGTGAGAATCTAATCTCGATAATACAGCGTAGAGACGAAGCAGTATAAGATAGTGATATGATCACAGGTTTCACTTACCGTATGCCAGAATGGCAGAATGATGTTCTATTTCATTATGTGATGCCTATTGTGGATGATGATGGCTTGAATGTGCTTTTCGATTTTATGGCACAAAACCCTTATTGTTTGGGTGCTGAGATACATGATGAGATTAGCCAGGCTGATCAGGGTGAAGATGAGACATGGAATGTGCCATCTGATCATGCTTATGACGACGAAGACGAAGACGAGGAGGAGGAGGAGGAGGAGGAGGAAGAAGAAGAAGAAGAAGAAGAAGAAGAAGATGGGGAAGAAGATCAGCCTAATTATCCTCCATATTTTTACTTGAAGGCTAATGAAGAGGACGATGAATTATCATATGCTGATTCATATGGCGTAATTCCAATGCCTATTGTTGCTGGCTTTGAAGGAGAATTCTACAAGGGGCAGATATTTCACTCGAAACAAGCTGCATAGGTGGCGGTTAAACACCATGCACTACAATGCAACTTTCAGTATGGCGTGGTGGAGTCATCACCTTCAATCTGAAAGGTCAGATGCTTGAAGCACAAGGATGACAATTGTCCTTGGATGGTTCGGTTTGGATGTCGAGAAGTTGGAAGCGAATGGACTATGAGAAAGGCCGAGTTGGTGCATTCTTGTAGCAGTACGACTCAACCGACGGATCATCGCCATCTTGATGTCAACGTTATATCTGAGTCCGTGAAACATTTGGTACGTACCCAACCAAATCTGAGCGTTCTAACTGTGCAGACCGTGTTGAAAGATAAGTTTAATATGCAAGTTACTTACAAGAAGGCTTGTTATGGGAAACAAAGAGCATTGGAGAAGTTGCATGGAAATTGGGAAGAATCCTACGATTATTTGCAAACATTCTTGCGGGTGGTAAAGAGAAAAATGCCAGCATCAGTGATTGATTGGGTAACAGTTCCTTCATCGCAACCAGGTCATTCGATCTTCCAGCGAGTATTCTGGGCTTATGGACCTTGTATAGATGGATTCAAGAATTGTCTAGGAGTCATGGTTGTTGATGGAACATTTATTACTGGAAAGTATAAAGTAGTGCTACTCATGTCGAGCTCATTTGATGGCTGGAAGAAAAAATTTCCAATTGCATTTGTCATAACGTGGATGGTACGTGACCAAATGGGTCGTACCTCGAATCTTGTAAACGCGATCACCAGCCTATAGTGCACAAAACTTATATTAATTCAAATTCATGCGTAATTCTATTTTCAGTTCACCTAGTAAAATCTATCTAATCTAGTAAACTATATCTAATCAAAACTAATACTAATTTCTAAAAATTTCACATGCAATTCTAATTTCAGTTCACCTAGTAAAAATCTAAACATCTAATCTAACTAGCTAATGATCTTTAATGAAATACTTACCTCGTTTTGCCAAACTGAGTCGACACGATGTTGGCCATGTGCCAAAAGAAGTACTGGATCGATTAGAGCTGGATCAATTGTAGTAGGCGGTAGTCTCGTGGAATAAATGTCCAGAAGTCTAGGAACTGCAAAAAAAAAAAAAAAAAGAAGCAAACAAAAGTCGTCGCCGCCGAGCTTCAGACCGGTGAGATCGCTCACCTCGGTATCGGCCGCGTGTCTGCCGTCCTCTTTCACGACCTCTTCCTCCGGCGACCGCCTGTTTTTCGTCGTAATCTGACATCCAAAACCAGATTTGGTTTCTTCACTTCCGCGCGAGTAAGGAGGAATCCGCGTTGGGGACGATGGTTCCGCAGGAGATTCGCGCGGATATGCTTGCTGGAAGGCGGACCCGCGCGAGGTGTGGGCGAGAAGCTCGCGGCGAGGGCGGGGCGACAGAGGGGGTGTGCTGCTGCGGAGGTTTTGGGGGAGGGGGTTTGTGGAGCTAGGGTTGGGGGGAGAAAGGGGATAAGATAAGAGAGAGGGATGCGATTTCGTAGGAATCTGAGGTGAGATATTTTAATAGGCAAATCCGCAGCAATCTGGCGCGGGTTCGCTTTTTAAACTGCCTATTTTGAGTCTCACCCTTCCCCTAAAAAACACAATATTTGTGTAATTAAATTTAAAACCACCATATTGGTGGTAAATAAAAAATAACTATATTTTGAGAATTTACCTTTTATTTGATCGTCTAATCATAGAAAAATAAATAACAATAAAAGTAAAAAGCATTCTAATTGTAATTAGTAGGCTCAAGAAGGTTATATATGAGAAGTTAAATTAAATTAAGCTTTTCTTTGCTACTCAATATTTATTTCTTCATATTTCTCTCCGTATTCATTATTTTTATTAATTGTTGTATTTTATTTCCATGTCCTACTATTTATCGTCTCGAATATCTTATGTCTATGTCTAATTTTTTGTATCTTTTATAAATTAGATAAATGTGGTAATCTGGTATCAACATAAATGTGGTAATCTCGTATCTTATGTCTATGTCTAATCTGGTATCAACATAATATTAATAAATTCAACCAGAAAAACATATTATTGACAAATGCCTTATAAAAAATTAGACATAAAGAACTTTTAAATGTGGAAAGCTCCCTGTAAGCACCATATTCGTTGTCATTAACTTAGTTTGGCCCTGCTGTAGCTTTTGCAGAAGCAGCTTATGGCTGAAGTTTTTAGATAAGTACTTTCAAAAAAAGCAGTTTAGTGTTTGGCTGTAAAACTATTAGAAGTGCTTTTTAATATGAGCGGTTGTGTAAAATGGCTATAAATGACTTATACTATAAAATATGAATAAAAATTCTAAACAATAAAAAGTAGTCAAAATAGATCTTGTTAGATTTCTTTTATATTAAATAATATGATTTTATATTTTATTTATTTTTAAAATGATATAAATGACGGAAAAGTATATTTTCTGAAATAAAATTAAAATATGGTAAGGATAATCTTGTATTTTCAAAACAGTTTTTCGCAGAAGCTCCAAATCGGAGTTTTTGCTTTTATGTTATACAAAAGCGCTTTTCGGATTTTCAAAAGCCGAGCTTTTAGAGGTGTTTGACCCTGTTTCAGCTTTTGAAGTCGAAAAACACTTCTAAAAGTCGGGCCAAACATAGGCATTATAGAAAATAAATGTCATATATTCGGTTATACCTATAAAATTAAAATGTAATCTACACTAGGAGTGGAAATTGGGGTGGGTGTGGTTACCCGCCCACATTTTGCGGGTACCCACACCCACAAATTTACAATTATGCTACCCACAATCCGCACCGCAGTGGTTACCGGGTAACCACCCACTGTGGGTTTGTGCGGGTTGGGTGTGGTTACCCACAAAAATCAATTTTTGTAAGCATAGAGTTCTAGTCGCCACTAACGTATTTGTTGTTCGTAACTAGACTATAGTGATATACACTTGTGTTGTTCGTGGAGATACAATTTTGTACATCGATCTTACTCAACGTGTATATTTTTCTTTTTGAGTTTGGTATTCAACTTTTTTGTGTCAGAGAGCTGTGATTTCATATTTCCCCGACTAGGGGTGAAATATGACAATTAAATTTGATTTTGTATTTTTTTCACACAAAAGCAAAAACATACTGATAAAAGTTACAAAAGGTGTTCACTTTTAATGAATTGTTTATTCTCTACTCTACCGATTATAGTGTTTTATAAACTAAAAAAAGTCTTACATAAAACTGATTAGGTGTATCATTTTTATTTGGCGGCTACTTTAATTTTTATCCTCGCACTTTTCACATACTATTATATTATAAAGTTAATTCACTAAATAAATATAATTAGTGTGGTTATTGTGGATTTTGTGGGTTACCCGCGGTGGGTAGTGGATAACCACTAACCAAAAATATTGTTATTTTACTACCCACACCCAACCCACTACCCACAATAGGTGCGGGTTGGTGCGGTTTGCGGATTATCCACAGCCCGCAACCCAAACTTCCACCCCTAATCTATACAATAAATAAAAGCCAAATAAGAAAACTTGAAGCCCCATTTCAAATTTCCTGCATCTAGAGTGAAAGCAGGAAGAACATTTTGGTCTTCACAATTACTTTTTTATTCATTAAAAAGACACTAGGATTCGAACCTTGACCACTTTAAAAAAAAGCAAAGATCATAGCCAATCACACTAAGTACATTTGTTGTATCTTTTTAAATTAAAAACATATAATCGCAGAGAGGAAACAAATCTTGCCCCATTTCAAATTCCCTGCTCCAGTAGCGTTTGTAGGAAGGGTAGAATAGTGAGTGTCAATTTTTTTCTTTTTCTTTTGTGGAACGGGCCAACTTACCATGCATCTAGAGTGAAAGTAGGAAGAACATTTTGGTCTTCACAATTACTTTTTTTTATTCATTAAAAAGACACTTACTAGGATTCGAACCTTGACCACTTTAAAAAAAAAGCAAAGATCATAACCAATCACACTAAGTACATTTGTTGTATTTTTTTAAATTAAAAACATATAATCGCCGAGAGGAAAAAAATCTTGGCCCATTTCAAATTCCCTGCTCCAGGAGCGTTTGTAGGAAGGGTAGAATAGGAAGTGTCAATTTTTTTCTTTTTCCTTTGTGGAACGGGCCAACTTACCATACACATGCGGATTTAAACGAGTCCAGGAGTGTCAATTTTTTTCTTTAAGTCCTTTTATTTCTCCGTGGTGGTAAAATATATATGAAAAGACAAAAACAATACTCCTTTTTATTGCTAAAAAGAAAAAAAATTTAAGAATAAACTAATGCATGGATTCTAATGGGCTAACCGCTAATCATAAAATAAAAGAGTTGAATGTGTCTGACCTACATGGGATTTGCCCATCAAGTAAAACAAATGAACATCATGAGTTTTTCATTATAAAACAAGCTATTTTCTCTAGCATAATATATATTATGCTAATATTTTATATCTTAGTGGTTAAAATATAATGTATTTTATAGTTATTCAATGGTTCAACCTCGACCAACCCAATTAGTCCAATTTTTATCATTTCAAATACATATTATGTAATTATTTGATATCATAATGATTAAATTATAGTGTATATTATAGGGAATCGTTTGGTATTTGTTAGTAAAAAACTAAACAGAAAGATCTATTTGGTTATTATTAACATTAAAACGATGCTAAACATTTTTCAGTTTCCTTTCGAAATTCTATAGTTTTATTCCCGAATCAGTGATGTGCAAATGACGAATTGCAGTCATCTCTTTTTTTTCATTATTTTTTATTTTCAAATAGAAAGTTTAAAAGTAAAGAATAATTAGAGTTTGGCATGGGTCGGTCAAACATGCTGAATTTCAAGTTTTGGCCCGTTTTGATCAAGTCTAATTTATAATCACATGGTTCCCTGATACCCGATAAAAATCTCAATGCAACTCAGTTTGGCAGGTGAATCCGTGTTTACCACCATTTTTTAGGGATACAAGAACGGTGGTTCCTTCCCAAATCGTGTTGTTCATTCTTGATTTCTTTAGATTTTATCATGACTTGGCAAAAAAACCAGAAAGCACAATGATAACAAGATGAAAGTTTTATAAAGCAAATTAATCGACCAACGGGCTGAGTAAAAGCTAGCAACGATTGTGAGATGCTCATTTCCCGAAAATCGTCGGGATAGGCGATTTTTTATTCGATTTTCTGGAATTTTGTTTCTATAAAACTTACTCCACCTCATCATATTACCAGAAACAATATTATTTCACAAGGTAACAGGTACTTGATTTTGGTTCATAAGGATGATTTTTGATTCGTTGCATCATTCATGTCTCTTTCCTACTAAATTTCACTATTTTTATCATGTGTTTAAAAAAACAAACTATATAACAATAAACTATACAGTATACATCCCATTACATTATCAAATTTCATACCTCACTTTCTTTCGGCCAAATGGTCGAGGCTCACGCTAGTAACTAATTAAAATACTGATTAAGAAAAAAAAAACAGTTTGAAATTGTACCTAACCTGACCTGAGCTCGCTAGACAGAGTTTTAAAAAGAAGATTTCTAGAAACCTACTTTCTCCCCCACTTGCATTTCCTCTCTCTCCCTTCCCTCTTTCTCTCTCCCTTCCCCATCTGCCCTTTCTGTCTGTGACAATCAAGCCAAACTCAACTGGACAACCGCTGTCTCGCGATCACAAGTTCATAACTTTATTCACAGAAGCTCCTCAATTTCCTTGTTTACCAACTTACCCACTTGGAGTCTTTAATTCTGTTTCCTTCTGGTGGGGAGAATGGAGCACGGCGGCTAGAATATGAGCTCTAGCTCGATTAGTTCAGCGTTGAGTTTTGGTTTCTGATTCAATCCCCAGCTCGGTTTCCCCTCATTTTGTAGTACAACAGGCAAGGAAGGAGAGATCTTTTTGTTTTCTATTTCTGGTTTTCAGAATGGGAATATGTTACTCATCAACGGGGAAAGAGGAAAGGGGAGCTGAGAATGGCGAAGGGGAGGGAGTTGGGAGCCGGTTGAGGAAGAAGAGCAGAGATAAGAAATCTGGCGGCGGCGGGGATCAGGAAAGTGTGCTGAATCACATTCCTGGCAGGATTGCTGGAAATGGTTCTAGTAAAATCGCCTGCTTGCATACCCAGCAAGGGAAGAAAGGGACCAATCAGGATGCCATGGTTGTTTGGGAGGTTAGTTAGCATCATCACATCTTTCAATTTGCAGCTCATTTGTTTCGTTTTTTGAAGAAAAGCTAATTTGGTTGACTCGCTTTTGATGTCTGGAGAAATGAAAGTGTGGGAATGGCTATTATACATTTCTTTGTTTCTATGTTCCATGTCAGACAAAGCCTGTTAGAGGCTCGAGGGTTGACCTGACCTATAAGTCTATGACGATCCAAGGAATGTGTGCTGTCAACATATAGCATCACTTCTGTTCTTTATACCATATCATATTCTAAGTTTCTTCTTACCTTGGAGAACCCACTCTCGTTCGACAACGACGTGGTTGAGAGATGGAGCAATTTCTTCTGTTCGTGCCTGGTTCTGGAAAATTGCTATGTTGAGCTGAACTTGTTAGGAAGCACTTGTCATAAACCAGTTGATCCCAAGAACTCGAGTTGTTGGGAGAGGATTTGAGAGGTTCAATCGTGAATCATATACCATAACACTAATACGCCCCCTCAAACGAAAGCCACTCACAAGGGCTTGAAGTTTGCACAGGTCTGAAGACAAGAATACCATGTGCTTAACAAATGCGGGTCATCGGGAATCGAATACAAGACCTCTCGGTCACAGAAGGCTCTGATACCATGTCTAGAACCAGTTGATCCCAATAACTCGAGTTGTTGGGAGAGGTTCAATCGTGGATCATATACCACAACACTAACATTAACCACTTCCTTATAGCACTTAGCATCTTCTATTAGAATTGCCCAAAAATCTGGTTGAACTCCCCTTCATCCTCATTCTGGGGAAGATAAAATCAAGATATAATGCCTTTAACTCACCCTTAGTTGGGACGAATTCTCTACTTGAGTTTAATAAAAAGTTCTCTGATCATGATCTAGGCATCTAGCTATTTTAAGTTTTGCATGAAGGCTTTTGTAGAGTTTCCTACTTGTGACATGTCGTTACATTCAGTTTTTGTTCCTTCTCTTAAGGGCCAAGGGTATCTGATGGCCATGTGAATTCTTTGTTGAACAGAATTTTGGATCCAGAAACGATGCAGTCTTTTGTGGGGTATTTGATGGTCATGGTCCTTATGGCCATATGGTTGCCAGAAAAGTTCGAGATTCACTTCCTCTCTTATTGAGTAATCAGTGGAAAGCTGGTGTCAGTGGGGAAAAGAATGGCCTCCAAAAGTCTGAGAATGCTCCAGGGACTACTACGAATTCAGAGGAGACTGGTTCAGTATGTGGTGATGATGAATCATATGACGCGATGGAGGTTGAGGAAAGTGACAAAGTCCCTGAGATGTATCTGCCGTTGAAAAAATCGATGTTGAAATCCTTCAAGTTGATGGATAAGGAGCTGAAGCTGCATCCTACCATCGATTGCTTTTGCAGTGGGTCAACTGCTGTGACTTTGATAAAGCTGGTAAGTTTCTGGCGATGCCCTTGATTTCTAATTGCACTTCACTTGAAATTTACTCTGGCGGTTTTGTGTTTTGGTCACTTAGTAAGGTGTTCAATTTAGCTGAATGAAGCTAGTAAAGTTATTGAAATTCTGTTTTAGAACGAGTTCTATGGTAACAGTTGTACACTAGTTGATTTTTCGTTTATTAGCCTTGATAGCTTTGTGGCAAAACTCACAACAATAAAGGGTTTCTGGTCTGACTGTACTTCATAGATGGCTAGTGAAGGAGAAAGCTATGAGCTTGGCAGGAAAAAAGAATATGAACTCCCTACTTCTTTCGGTCCATGGTTTGTAAAGCAATGAACTTGAGTCTTGATCTTTTGTTTGTTGATGGATTTGGTGATCGATTTTGATCCATCATGGACTTTGTCCAAACTCCATTGTTTGCTTCATGTATTTAGAGAAACAAATCCGTAGGCTCCATGGACTTTAAGGGTCCAAATCTGTGGGCCTCACGGACTTAAAAATTCCACCCCTTTAAGTGATAATTGATCATAGACTTTGAAGTCCATCATTTGTGACCAACCTACCCCTCCTATTTCATTTCTCTTCTCATACAAATGAGGGGGGCAATATAGGTCAATTTCACTTCATATACACAAATCTAGTTAACCAAATCCGTCATGAAATATATGAAACAAACAATGGTGTTTTTCTTTTTTTTTGGTAGGGAAGGCAGACGCAATGCGTCTAATTCATATTAGAAATACGATCATGGGAAGTTCCCAAAACATCATGGCTGAGCCAATGTACAAGGTCTCTATCGCACACATTGAAGCGATGTGTGCCAAAATCGAAATCGTAAGCCTTGTTGGCCAAGTAATCGGCCGCAAAATTTGCTTCCCTAAACACATGGGAAACACAAACCTCCCAATCAAGACTAAAAAAGAAATCAAACTGTTTGGCTATGCTTCCATGTCGATGATCATCTCTGTCGCAATTTTTGATGATGTCAACAGCCGTAGTGGAATCGAGCTTTAGCTCTATCTTTCCCTAAACACATGGGAAACACAATGGTGTTTTTCAAGTCCATAATGAACCCAAAACCCTTACATATCCATGATTTTACAAAACTCAACTTTTACCAAAACCTTCAATTTTCAAATCCACGAAGCAAACAACCCGTATGAAAGGATTTTCAATAAGACTTACCAGTTTAAAGCTTTGTACTGTATCTGAGGCTTCCCTCAATGTTACAAATTTACCTTTGTCGTCTACATGATCTTTGCCATTGACATGTTGAAAGCAAAACTTGACGTCTGTTGACTTTTATTATGACTAGTCCTCAATTCTACTTGATTAAATCCGTGTAGGATTTGCCTTTTTATCTTGCTTGCAGCCTTGCTAGTCTTACTAAATCGCACATTGATGATCTTTTTTCTAACAATCAATATATAAGATTTTGGAAGATTCAGAGGTTTTCCTTTAAGTACTGCAAAGATGTTCTTATGAAACCTGGAATAATTAATTGGCTTTCAGGGTGAGGATCTCATTATTGGAAATGTTGGTGATTCTAGAGCGGTGATGGCAACCAGAGATGAAGATAATTCCTTACTTGCTGTTCAATTGACTGTTGATTTGAAGCCTGATCTGCCAAGTTAGTCTTCTCCATTGCCTCTGGTTAACAAAATTTTAAAAGAAGTGATCCTATAGTTTCTACAATATTAACGTGGGCATGCAAATTGTTATTACTTCCCACATTAATCAGGAGAAGCTGCCAGGATCCATCAATGTAAAGGAAGGGTCTTTGCATTGCAGGACGAGCCAGAAGTTGCACGTGTGTGGTTGCCCAATAATGATTCCCCAGGTCTGGCTATGGCCCGAGCTTTTGGTGACTTCTGCCTCAAGGATTTTGGTTTGATCTCTGTACCTGATCTTTACTACCGTCGTCTCACACTGACGGACGAATTCATCATTCTCGCCACTGATGGGGTAATAACTCATCCTGTGTACCATACACATGCCAGCTATAGAATTGCATTGTTCATTCGCTTATAATCTCTTGACATTCAGGTTTGGGATGTTCTTTCCAATATGGAAGCTGTGGATATTGTTGCTTCAGCACCTGGTCGCGCAACTGCAGCTCGGGCCCTGATAGATTGTGCTGTTCGAGCTTGGAGGCTAAAATACCCCACTTCCAAAAACGATGACTGTGCTGTCGTGTGCCTCTTTCTGGATCATCCACCTGCAGAAAATGGTATGGAAAAAGACATTGTGCCCACCAATGAATCGAACAAGACATTGGCTCAAACAAGCAGTGTCTCAATGGGCACAGAAATGCAAGACGACAGTTCCATTGATCACGTCCTCATGCATTCAGGAACCATAAGGCCCTGTGAAGAGATTGTGCCGGTGTTTGAGCCTGCAGAGGCGAAAATGACTGCACAGAGCCAGTCGAAGAGGAGCTTGGCGGAGTGCATTTCGAGCACTGAGGAGGACGAGTGGTCAGCATTGGAAGGGATCGCTAGGGTCAATAGTCTTCTAAGCATTCCTAGGTTCTTATCTGGAGATAGAAGATCAGCCAGTTGGAGGAAATGGTTATGACAGCGCACACTGAGTATCGGGAAAGCTGGAGTTTTTGATTCCTTAGACGTATACATCATCTTGCTACTGATACAGGTGATATTACCAACCCGGTTAGAAGATGTTTGCCTCGCTGAAATCAATTTGGTGTCCTTGTTTTGCCATTATTCCTCTTGTATTCAATTTATTGGTTTTTTTGTATTTCTTGTGAAGTACAGCCATGTATCTTTTGATGTGATTGAGAGCGGATGAGTTCTTGGAAGCATAAGGTGGAACTGTGAAAACATTGTGAAACATGCTAGTTATTGTAACTTGTACAGTATGTTATATTAGTTGTACTTGTAATTGACAGAGAGAGGTCTTCCTTTTTCACTGGAGAGCAGTTAGAGAACAAATTTATTTCCTTAAATTTTAGGATAAGGTCATTGGTGTGCTGTATGAGCTCTGGCCCAAGAGAATAAGAGCAATTACACTCGAACAGGAATACTAGGTAGCTACTAAGACTTATGAAGAGCAAGCTAGGTCGATGAACCGTCCACGACTAGAAGTCAAGGCAAGCTAGTACAATTTCTGAACAAGAAATCCCACGGGCTGCACTCTTGCTTGCATCTCTCTCTAAAGAGGTCGCTCGCCAGTCGCCAGTCCTTAAAAAACGAAGAAACAGAGCAAATTGTCAGAGTGAGCCGTAACAAGTAAAGCCCCCTTTTTTCCTTCCTTTTCAACAAAAGGTCACCCTTCTTTCTCTTTCTTCTTCCTCTTTCTCCCTGTGTGAAGGAGTGATGCTGTTGGCAGCCATAGATGCAGAGCTTGAAGATGCAGAGTCAACTCAGGCTTCCTTTCACCTGTGTTGAAGACGAAGAAGAGGCTGCCCATCCGACGTCGCTTTCATCTAAGTAGTGGACTCTACAAGAAGAGAACGGCGTCGCATAGTGAACCAGAAGATAAATAGATAAATAGCCACTTGGCGTTTTGTAGTTGGATAGTTTAGTTACCGTTAGTAAACAGTATTCTACTTTACCTTTCGTTGTTTGATAGTGGTAACTCGGCTGTAGAGACTGATGTATATATTGCTCTCTGGAAATGGAATGAAGCCTATCGGCAAATTCCCCAACATTGCCTCTCTTCTTCTTCTGTGTTCACCCTAATTTTCTGCTAGGGTTTCAGGTTTTCTCATGGTATCAGAGCCTCCGATCTAGGAGTGCCGATTCTGTTTTTCCTCTGTTCGTTTTCTTTCTTTCTTCTTTTGCCTTTCCATGGCTGACTTCACTTCTCCTGGTTCTGGTACTTCCACCACCACCAACCCAAACCCTGCGTCTCGCTATGAAGATCCTTATTCCAACCCCTTATACTTGGCTGCCAGTGACAATTCGTTTCTCCCTGTCATCAGCTTCAAGTTGAATGATGACAATTACCTCCTCTGGGCTGAATCCATGGAGGTTGCTCTACGCACCAAGAACAAATGGGGTTTCATCGACGGCACAGTTCAGGTACCTGATGACACTGATCCTTCTCGTAGCACTTGGGATCGTTGTAACGGTACTATTCTCTGTTGGATTCGCAATTCTGTTTCTGAGGACATCGTTCCTAGTCTGCGTTCCATCAGATCTGCTGCTGATGCTTGGGGTTACTTGAGATCTAAGTTTAGTCAGGGTGACTCTGTGAGGATTGCTAATCTGCAGGAGAAGGTTGATCTCACTAAACAGGGCACTAAAACTGTGCGTCAATATCATACTGATTTGAAGCTTTTGTGGGATGAACAAGAGCATTATGAACCCATTCCTGTCTGTGAATGTGCTTCCAAATGTTCTGAAACTGTGATCAGGTATCGGGATAGGGGGCGAGTGATCCGTTTCTTACTGGGTTTGAACGAGACCTATCAGCAGGTCAAAACCCAGATGCTTATGCTTGATCCCTTACCTGATATGGACACAGTCTATCGGGCTGTTGTTCAGCTTGAGCGTCAAATGACCACTGGCAAAACCAAGACTACTGCTGAATCCATTGCCCTTGCCGCTTTATCTGGTCAATCTGGCCAACGCAGGGAGTCTGGCAAGGATGGTAAGAAGTCTCAGGAACTTTTTTGCCGTTATTGCAAGAAGGAGAACCATGTCATTGAGGACTGTTTTAAGTTGAAGAATAAGAGGAAGAATGAGGCTGGTGGGCGCACTTTTGCTGGTTCCATTGATACTTCTGGGAATGATGGTGTGGTCTCATCTGGAGGGAGCTCTCAAAGTCCATCCAGTCCTGTTTCTGAGCCCAGGACCAGTCAAGAGGGTCAACCTCTTTGGTTCTCTGCTGATGAGATTCACAAGCTGCGCAGCCTTCTTCAGCAACACCACCCTCATCCTCCTGCTCAATTCCCTCAGTCCAATTCTGTTTTGACTCGTCCTAGTGGTTCTCATCCACCAATTTCAGGTAGCTCTTTCTCTTCCATTACCTCTCAGGCTGCTCTGTCAGCTGTTTGGGTTCTTGACACTGGTGCCAGTGATCACATCATTTGCAATGTGAACTTGTTCTTGCGCTCTCAAGAGGTTCCCCATATGTTTGTCAACTTACCTAATGGTCAAAAATCCAAAGTCACTCACATTGGCTTGGTTAAACTTCCTTGTGATATTCTGCTTACCAATGTTCTCTTAGTCCCTTCCTTTTCTTACAACCTTATCTCTGTTAGTCAGTTAACCAAAAACACTCCAGTATCACTCACCTTTGAATCCAACTTCTGTTGTATCCAGGACCTAATATCACAACAGAAGATTGGTTCAATCCGGGTAGATAGAGGGCTCTACTTGCTTGGGAGTGATGCTGGGAGTCCAAACACAACCTTACCTCAAATCTGTGGAGTGAAAACCAGTCAGGATTCTACCTTGTGGCACCTTAGGCTTGGCCATTTATCTCTTCCTAGATTACAGACAATTCAGAAACATTGTAATGACGTTTTTGTTCCTTCTAGTTCTCACTGTGAGATATGTCAGTTGTCCAAACAAAAGAGGCTTCCTTTTCCTCTTAGTCAATCTCGTAGCAAGTCTGTGTTTGATTTGATCCATGTTGATATATGGGGACCTGTTGATGTAGTTTCTCATGATGGTTACAAATATTTTCTTACCATAGTGGATGATTACAGTCGATGCACTTGGTTGTTTCTTATGGGCTTCAAATCAGAAGCTAGGTCTTTGCTGCATTCTTTTTGCTTGATGGTGAAGAATCAGTTTGATAAATCTATTAAAGTTATAAGATCTGATCAGGGCCAAGAGTTCAATATGCCTGAATTCTATCAATCTCAAGGAATCATTCACCAAATGAGCTGTGTGAGAACTGCTCAGCAGAATGGCAGGGTGGAAAGGAAACACCAACATCTTTTGAATGTTGCTAGATCCCTCAAACTACAATCTGGTTTACCTAAGAGCTTTTGGAGTCATTTTGTTCTTCATTCTGCCTATTTGATCAATAGGATTCCTACACCTCTTTTGGAGAACAAATCTCCTTTTGAATGTCTCTATGGTGTCCCACCTGACTACAGCAATCTGAGGGTATTTGGTTGTATGGCTTATGCCACTGTTCTGGATGAGCATAAAGGAAAGTTTGATCCCAGGGCTAGAAGAGCAGCTTTCCTGGGATACCCATTTGATGTGAAGGGTTTCAAACTGTTTGATTTGGATACACTCCAGGTTTTCCTCAGTAGGGATGTTGTGTTTTATGAGGATGTTTTTCCTTTCCAGCAAACTCAGTTGCCTGTCTCTCCCTCTGATTCTTTGCCTGCTACCTCCCCTGATCCTCTCTCATCTTCTCTTTTTCACTCTCTCTTCTTTGACAACACATATCAGTCACCTCCTTTGCCTTCTGACCATAATGTGGCTGATACTGTTGATCCTGATTTTATTCCTTCTGGACAGTCCAGTTCTCCCCCTTCTACTCTTCCTATTGCTCTTCGAAAAACATCCAGGACTTTACATAAACCTGCTTATCTATCTGATTACCATGTCAGTCTCCTTTCTGCTACACCTTCTTCCCACGACCACCAGACCTGACATCTGCTTCCCTGTTCAGCAGCTCTGTCAATTTCAGGGGGCCCCAACCACTTCTCATTTGCAAGCATTGCACAGGATACTCAGGTACTTAAAAGCTCATCCATCTCAAGGTCTGTGGTTCCCTTCTTCCAATTCGACTCATCTTACAGGCTATTGTGACTCTGACTGGGCAACTTGCCCTGACACAAGGCGCTCAGTGACGGGTTACTGTACTTTTCTTGGGAACTCATTGATCACTTGGAAGAGTAAGAAACAATCTACTGTTTCTCGTTCCTCGTCTGAAGCGGAGTATAGAGCTTTAGCTCAGCTCTCGTGTGAGGTTCAGTGGCTGAAGTCACTTCTGGGTTTTTATGGTGTTGAGCATCCATCACCCATTCGAATCTATTGTGACAATCAATCTGCTTTACATATTGCTGAAAACCCAGTCTTTCACGAGCGTACAAAACATATAGAAGTCGATTGTCATGTAACTCGTGAAAGACTGAGGTCTGGTTTACTATCCTTGCATCACATCCAATCAGAAGAGCAACTTGCAGATTTCTTCACAAAGGGGTTGTCTTCTGATCGCTTTGATACTTTGCTCACCAAGCTAGGAGTTCACAATATGTTCCTCCCAGCTTGAGGGGGCCTGTGAAGGAGTGATGCTGTTGGCAGCCATAGATGCAGAGCTTGAAGATGCAGAGTCAACTCAGGCTTCCTTTCACCTGTGTTGAAGACGAAGAAGAGGCTGCCCATCCGACGTCGCTTTCATCTAAGTAGTGGACTCTACAAGAAGAGAACGGCGTCGCATAGTGAACCAGAAGATAAATAGATAAATAGCCACTTGGCGTTTTGTAGTTGGATAGTTTAGTTACCGTTAGTAAACAGTATTCTACTTTACCTTTCGTTGTTTGATAGTGGTAACTCGGCTGTAGAGACTGATGTATATATTGCTCTCTGGAAATGGAATGAAGCCTATCGGCAAATTCCCCAACATTGCCTCTCTTCTTCTTCTGTGTTCACCCTAATTTTCTGCTAGGGTTTCAGGTTTTCTCACCCTGCTTTCCTTCTTCTTCTTCTGAACAAGGAAAGCTGCACCCTTTGACGTAAAAGATCTTAAAAAACAGAGCAATGGCTCAAGTGTAAGCCGGAAGGAGTGAATTCCCCTTCTTTCCTTCAACTTGAGGGGGTGTGATAAGGAGTGGAGTCCATTAAATCACATTCATTCACTTACTTCTCCTTCTTTCATTCATCTGTACATTCAAAATATAAATATTCGTTCAACTAACGGATACAGAAAAGCTAGATTGGCAGATTCACCCAATTATCACACTATAGGCTTATATGCAAGGGCGCCTCTGATTTTGAGGCGCAACTCTTCGGAGGTCCTGTGAAGTGAGCTTCAATGAGGATTAATTTTGCTTCACCATAGCTCCTGATTGACCGAAGCCCAGCAGTAATCGCAATCGTCCAAATCAGTAGAGTCCAATGCACACGAGAACCAGAAACCCGATCGATGACATCCTGCAGCCTCGACTCTCCCAAGTTCGCCATTCGGATTGGATGTTGGAATTTTGGCCACCAATCGAACCCATTAGCAATTGGATGCAGGAATTCTGGCGCAAGTCGTGAATGCACTATGTTTTCTGTTGTTTCCCCGTGTTTCTCTGCGATCGTCCTCTGGATTTCCGTTCTTTTTCTCATTCTTTCTGGCTACTCGAGGAGCCAATTCAGCACAGGGTCAATATATCGCGAAAAGTCAATAAATCGCGTAAATATCGCGATATTTTTCCATATCGCGATATCTCGTCAATTTCAATTTCTCGTCAATTTCTCGCGTTTCGATTTTGGTTTTGAGGAACCGAAACGTTTCGCGTTTCGCCCGTTTCTGGCGCCCGTTTTTTCACCTTGCTGGGGTTCCCCGTTTTCGCTGGCCATCCGCCTACCTCCCACCCGAAACGCGGCCCGATTTCATTTTTTCTGGGCCTTGAATTAAAAGGAGAGGAAGCTTCTTGGGCCATAGTCTGACTGAAGCCCATGTTTTCCTGGCCGTCGGCCTACCTTCCGAGAAAACGGCGTCGCATTTTCCAACATTAGGGCCTTCAACTAAATAGCGAAGAACCATTTTGGTCCTTTCTCAAAACTGAAGCCCATCTTTACCAACCGTCACTTCTTCCCCGTTTCCCGCCCTGGTCCATGTTTTCTCGGCTTGGAAGCTTGGGCGGTGGTCGGCCGTTTCTGGATGCCGTTTCTTTTACTTTGTGGGGGTCTCCCGTTTTCACCTGACTCCGCTTACCTCCCACCCGAAACGCCGCCCAATTTCAGTTTTTTGGGCCTTCAATTAGAAAGAGAGGAAGGAAGCTTGGGCTCGGAGGAGTGTGTTTTGTTCTTCTTCGCAGAGGAAAGAGAGAGAGAGAGAGAGAGGCCTGGCCTGGCCAACCAAACCAACCAATCATCCCTACACCCTACCTCCTTCCACCTATTCGCGAGCCGAGAGTTGTAGTCCAGACGACGAGTGAGGTGGATATCCTCGATTAAGTATGGGCAGAAGGTTGTGAAAGGAAATCGTAATCCAAGGTATGTTTGCTCAACCATTTCCCTGTTCTTCTGAATTCATATTGTTTCTGTTCTTGCATGAAAACCAGGTCATTGACATTAATGAATGGTCGTCACCAAGGCACCACAGGCTCACAACAACATTAGCCGAGGTGGATTCGATAGTAGAGAGACAGTTGACCCATATGGATCTTTCAGCTTGCGTGGAAGGCAACATCAGCAGCAGCAGCATGGGTTCTCGTTCGGAATGGGCCAACCTGGCGATGATGATGCCATCGTCAGTTCATCATCCTTACTTAGCAGCAGCTCAGCAGCAAAGGCCGTTTAGTGAGATGGGGTTCATGTTGCCAAAAGGGAGAGCCGAATCAGCAGATTATGAGTAGGCTGCCACTTGGACCTCAAATGTGAATGAATGGATGAATCTCTCGCTGTCGCACCTTGCTTATTTTTCCTTGATGTTCAAGCATTTATTTATTGGTGTTGCTTCATCATGGGTTAATACTTAATATTATTATTTGTTTTTTATTTCTTTTGTTTGGGGATGGAACTGAATATAGGAATTTTTTTACACATGAATAGGCAATTTGATCAAGTTCTGAATCTTTTCTCCCTTTAGAACTATGCTATTACTTGTGTACATATATCTTGAACGAATCACTGTTATATCCTTTTCTATTTCTTTCAAGAGAACTTCTCAATTGCCCTATCCAAAGAACTCCCCTTAGTTTCATTAGCAACTTGGCTGGACTAAAATAAGCAATCATATAAGCAATTTACTATATCCATATCTTTCACTTCCTCCTTCAACGAATGGGAAAACTATGACAGGCAAAAGAAGTAGACCGTATCCATATCTACATATAATTTGCTAAAATAAACAAATGATTCTATGAATTCCGATACCAAAAATGGAGGATCAGCGGGTTCGCCGATCTCGCCCCATCGCCATTCTTTAGTGACCATTCCCAATCAATTCCAGTTCATTCTCTTTTCGATGCTGATAAACCAGTTTTCTTCGAGCTACTTCATCTCTGCATAGCCAAAAAGGAAAGAAGAACCAGAAAACTTGCAGCACTTAGGGAAACAATGGCACCCAAAAAAACAATCAGTACTCCAAAATGTTCATCAGCACCAGTAATCATACTAACTAACGTCGAAGCAGCCACTTAATCTAGAGCTAGTGTGAGACAGTGGGTTGTACAAACTGAGGTCCCTCGGGTTAGAAAGGGTAACTTAAAATCGTAGCTTTGAAGGGCATAAATTCTGACTTCTAAAGCCAGCCAACACGAACCTGATATAGTTCAAGATAGCATCATAGTGAAGAATAGCAACAATCCTTCGCCTCCTCTCTTTCCAGGAGGATCCTCTACCATGTTTAACCACAGGTAACTGTCTTATTCCTTTGGCCTCCATTAGCTCTCTCGCAGTTGCCAAGTTGGTGTCGGGATAACATGTCAGAAGTCCACGTAATTGTCCATGGTAATTGATCCCTCGAGTGCAAACGGAAGAAACAACACTGTTATTTACCTGCAAATGAGCAGAAAAAAGAACACAATTCAAATGTCATCAATAAAAAGAGTGTCACATCAAAATGCAGATGGAGTATTTACATACATCTGCAAGCGTGGGGTCCACAGAAGGATCACTGGTTTTACTGGAAACTCGTCTAATATCGCCGTAGGTTAGTATTCCTTCAAGTAAATCTTCATCATCCACAATAAATACGCAATTCTGTTTGTTGTCATCCATTTGTTTTATAGCTTCCTTCAAAGTCAATGCTGCTGAGACCTTTGCATAGTTCTTTGACATGACCCGTGAAACCTGCCAAACAAGAGTGGAACGGAATCATGAATAAATGAATGATACCACTAACTTCAGAAAATGAGACTTCAAAAGTGAATTCTAAAGCAAACACAGAGAAGGGGAAGCTTGAAACCTTTAGATCTTCCAAAAGAAGATCTTCGAGGACTGCCTCATGATCAGCTGAATTTTGCATTATACAGAATTCTAGGTCATCTCCGCCTTCATTTCTTCTCCAGAGAGGTTCATTATTGTCGTCAGAATTTGAAATCGTAGAATAACATCTTGTCGAAACACGTGTATCAGATAATTCAGGTTCGTTAGGCTGGTTGGCAACAGAGGGAACCCATATGGCCAATCCTACTGCTCCCTACATGCAATATCATTCATGACATGTAAGCTACCAATTTTTTTGTAGTAAAGAACGGCCAACAGCAAAGAAAATGATAGGGGGAGTTACCATGAGGGGGAGGATGATTCTGTAAACTATGCAGTTTCTTCTTTGTGCCCCTCCCTTGGTTGACAGTTTTGTAAAGGTCACGGAAACATACATGGTCAGCTGGGATACTTCTGTTTGTATCGAGTGTTACACTAACAGCGTAATGCAATCTGTTTTTGATTTTATTTGGCTACTATAACTTGATCATTTAAACTTATAGTATTAGGCATATCATTTGCCAGTCACCATGGGACGGGCTAGCATGCTAACCCCTTAAGGGGTTGGTTTTTTGACACCCCTTTTAATTGGTCAATTTTTCATTAATTATTGACAAGTATTAATGAAAGTAAATATAATAAATGTTATGTTATTAAATACAAAGTAAGCATTAAATATACCACATTAATTACCACTTTACTGGTATTTGTACCACTGCACTGATACTCAGATATGACATTGCTACCAGTGCACTGATATCGCTACTAGTGCAGTGGTACATCTACCAGTACAGTGGTACAACGTATCAGTGCATTGGTATATCTACCAGTACAGTGGTACAACGTATCAGTGCAGTGGTATATCTACCAGTACAGTGGTACATCGTATCAGTGTAGTGGTATATTTTTTGGAGGTGGTCGGAGGGAGTCTGCCGATGGGATTTTCACCGGAGAAGTGTGGCGGTCGAAGGAAGTCTGGTAGTCGAAGACTGCTTAAAAAGGAAAAATCAAATATAGTGAGAGAATTCCTAATGTGTATTTAATGTGTGTATTTAATTCCTAATGTGTATTTAATTGTAAGAGAATTCCTAATTAATATGGTACATTTAATTCCTAATGTGTATTTAATGTGTGTATTAATTATTGTGTATTAATTATAGTTGTATTTAATATACTAGGAGGGTGTCATTTTTCCAACCCCTAAGGGGGTTAGCATGCTAACCGACCCCAGTCACCATTCATCTCTATACTAGTTGGCATCATCGTCTTTGTCCTTGCCTATTTGGAAGTAACACGTTTGGTATAATTATCATTCAAAATGAAAGGTTAATTACAACACATCAATCTTGTTGGGAGTTGAACTCGGGAGTTGATTTTTTTTTTCCGTTGAATTGGTAGTTGATATTTGACGTCCTATGAATTTAAAAATTTCGTTCTAAATTTGGAAAATGTACACCTTTGGCACTGAAATTAATTTATTCCATCCGTAGTCATTCAAATTAGTACAACAGTTCAAGTTTGGTCACTCTTCGTTAGTCTCTGTTAACTTTGAGCTGACGTGGCAGTCAACTCTGAGAGTTGATCATTAAATACGTGACGTGATAATTAAAAAATAATAAAATTTAATCTTTTAAAAATTCCACATAATTATATGATTATCACAATAAATTGAAAAATAATAAATAATAATAATAATTGCAATAACAAAAAATGAAAAATTGGAAAAAAAAAATTCATTCTCACATCCTATTTAACGAGGGTGCTTTAAATTGTGGAAGCTATGGATGTGGGTGGGCTCGTGGCACGCACATCCTAATTATCCTCCATGTGCCGACAAACCTTTTCGGACCTTCCTACACACACAACTTCACATCTCCGCCGTAGTGCTCAGGCTGTCTCAGGTGACGATGTCCTGTCCGACCTCATTCAAATCTCCCTCTCTTCTTCAACCCGCATCCCAATTTCTTTCCACTGCAATTTGGTCTCCCTTTCAGAAACCCACAACTTTCCCTCCCATCATCCGGTCTCAAATTTCATTGTGCAGAGCCAAAAACCCCAACCCTCACAGCTGCTTCCGCCGTCTCCGGCAGCTCACCCGTAGAACCATCTCCGTTGCCGTCGACCATCGTTTTCCTAAACTGAAACGGAAAGGACAAGTTTGGGATTGATTTTCCAATTTTCCAATTTTTATTGCAATTATTATTATTTTTTAATTTATCGTGTTAATGAGGTGGAATGTTTAAAAGATTATTTTTTTATTTTTAATTTCCACGTCACTTATTTAACGGTTAACTCTTAGAGTTGACTGCCACGTCAGCTAAAGTTAACGGAGACTAACAGAGAGTGACCAAACTTGAACTGCTGAACTAATTTGAGTGACTATGGATGAAATAGAATAAATGAATGAGGCAATGGAGAATGATTCTAGTGGAGCCGTTTAGTAGAACCTTGTTCTTCTCTAAGAACACTACCAAAGCTACTAGGATTGAGGTGTGCTCTAGACTTGGTATTCAGGAAACCTATGACCTTGGGAGATACCTGGGGATGCCAGTGATCCATGGCAGAATGACCAGGAATACTTACAGGTTTGTTTTAGAAAAGATGGATGGCAAACTTACAGCATCGAAAGCCAAAACGCTATCACTTGCTGGTAGAGTTACACTAGCCTTGGCTGTCCTGAATGCCATTCCTAACTTTGCTATGCAAACTTCCCCCCTTCCTCTCTCTGTCTGTGATAAAATTGACAAAAAGATTAGGAGGTTTGTTTGGGGAGAGCAGGAGGGTAAAAGAAAGACCCACCTGGTCTCTTGGAACACTATTTGTAAGCCTAAGAGCCAAGGTGGTCTGGGCCTCAGATCTGCCAGAAACTTGAACATGGCATACATGATCAAGTTGGCTTGGCAGATACTTAACAACGATTCTGAGCTTTGGGTGCAGGTCCTACAAGGGAAGTATTTTAAGCATAAAGATGGTGCCATTACCTCTATGAAGAAGAGTAATCATTCAAACTTGTGGAAGGCGATTGTCAAAGCAATGCCTCTGATGAAAAGTGGCTGTTGCTGGAGCATCAGGAATGGGGAGTCTACAAGTTTTTGGTCTCATCCATGGATTGACTGTGATCTCAAACTTGAAGATTTCCTCCTTGGCGACCTGACACCCACTGAAAGGAACTCACCAGTGGCAGCATGGGCTACTGAAGAAGGTGAGTGGGACTGGAACCGACTCAAACCACTCCTCCCTGATGACATTCTTAATCTGATTGCAGGCATAGAAGTTCCGAATGCACATCTTGGCGAGGACAAAACCATATGGGCAATGGAACGTGATGGGAGGTTTAGACTCAAATCGGCCTATGCACTTGCTGCAGGGTTGGATGAGGCTGATGATGATCAAAGCTGGACTAAACTATGGAAATGGAAGGGACCAAACATAGTTAAGCATTTTTTGTGGCAGGTGATGCACGATCGCTTAATGACTAACAAGCATTTTTTGTCACTGTTATTCTTTTGGTACACATTCATTCGATGTGTACGAAGTCGGTCTTAGACACTGGCTCTTTCATGATGTAATGGGGGATTTCCCAGGACCGTTTTATTACAAAAATGAATTAGACGCACTAGCGTCAATCTTTCTACAAAAAAAAAAAAAAAAATCATTTTTCACCAAATAGGCTCGTGGGCTCACGAAAAGTTCGGTTTAAAGTGAAATATCTTATTGTACCGATGGTCAATGAGTGGAAGGGAGGTTGCGTTGGAATCATATGACCGGGAGGAACGCCATAGAGTTGGAATTTGCATGAAAAGGTCTCTAAAGAAATTTTATTTTTTCACCAAATAGGCTTGTGGGCTCAAGAAAAAGTTCGGTTTAAAGTGAAATATCTCATTGTAACGGTGTTCAATGACTCGAAGGGAGGTTGCGTTGGAATCGTGTGACGGAGAGGAACGCCATAGTGTTGGAATTTGCAAGAAAAAAGGTCTCTAAAGAAATTTCATTTTTTCCCATCAAATAGGCTTGTGGGCTCACGAAAAGTTCGATTTAAAAGGAAATTTCTCATTGCACCGATGGCCAATGAGGGGAAGGGAGGTTGCGTTGGAATCGTGTGACCGAGAGGAACGCCATAGAGTTTGAATTTGCAAGAAAAAAGCTCTTAAAAGAAATTTCATTTTTTTCATCAAATAGCCTTGTGGATCACGAACAGTTCGGTTTAAAGTGAAATATCTCATTGCATCGGTGGCCAATGAGTGGAAGGGAGGTTGCGTTGGAATCATATGACCGAGAGGAACGTCATAGAGTTGGAATTTGCAAGAAAAAAGCTCTTAAAAGAAAATTTCATTTTTCATCAAATAACCTTGTGGTCACGAACAGTTCGGTTTAAAGTGAAATATCTCATTGCACCGGTGGCCAATGAGTGGAAGGGAGGTTGCGTTGGAATCATATGACGAGAGGAACGTCATAGAGTTTGGAATTTGCAAGAAAAAAGGTATCTAAAGAAATTTCAATTTTTCAACAAATAGGCTTGCGGGCTCACGGAAAGTTCGGTTTAAAGTGCAATTTCTCATTGCACAGATGGCCAATGAGGGGAAGGGAGGTTGCGTTGGAATCGTATGACCAAGAAAAACGCCATAGAGTTGAAATTTGAAAGAAAAAGGTCTCTAAAGATATTTCATTTTTTCACCAAATAGGCTTGTGGGCTCACGAAAAGTTCGGTTTAAAGTGCAATTTCTCATTGCACCGATGGCCAATGAGTGGAAGGGAGGTTGCGTTGGAATCATATGACCGAGAGGAACACCATAGAGTTGGAATTTGAAGGTAAATGGTCTCTAAAAAAATTTCATTTTTCACCAAATAGGCTTGTGGGCTCACGAAAAGTTCGGTTTAGAGTGAAATATCTCATTGCACCGATGATCAATGAGTGGAAGGGAGGTTGCGTTGGAATCAAATGACCGAGAGGAACGCCATAGAGTTGGAATTTGCAAGAAAAATGGTCTCTAAAGAAATTTCGTTTTTTCACCAAATAGGCTAGTGGACTAACGAAAATTTCGGTTTAAAGTGCAATTTCTCATTGCACCGATGGCCAATGAGGGGAAGGGAGGTTGAGTTCGAATAGTGTGACCTAGAAGAACGCCACAGAGTTGGAATTTTTAAGAAAAAGCTCTTATAAGAAATTTCATTTTTTCATCAAATAGCCTTGTGGGTCTCGAATAGTTCGGTTTAAAGTGAAATATCTCATTGCACCGGTGGCCAATGAGTGGAAGGGAGGTTGAGTAAAAATCGTATGACCGAGAGGAACACCATAGAGTTGGAATTTTCCAGAAAAAAGGTCTCTAAAGAAATTTCATTTTTCATCAAATAGGCTTGTGGGTCACGAAAAGTTCGGCTTAAAGTGCAGTATCTCATTGCACCGATGGCCAATGAGTGGAAGGGAGGTTGCGTTGGAATCGTATGACCGAGAGGAACGCCATATAGTTGGAATTTGCAAGAAAAAAGGTCTCTAAAGAAATTTCATTTTTT